TTCCCCCTCTGTCTCCCTCCCTCCCTCCCACCCTCCCTCTCTCCATCTCTCTCTCCCTCCCATCCTCCCTCTCTTCTCCCCTTCCTCCCTTCGTCCCTCCCTCCCTCCTTCTCTCTCTCCCTCCCTCCCTCACCCCTCTCTCCCTCCCTCCCACCCTCCCTCTCTCCCTCCTTCTCTCTCTCTCCCCCTCTCTCTCCCCTCCCCCTGTCTCTCCTTCTCTCTCTCCCTCCCTCCTTCACCCCTCTCTCCCTCCCTCCCTTCCACCCTTCCACCTTCCCTCTCTCCCTACTCTCTCTCTCTCTCTCTCTCTCTCTCTCTTTCTCTCTCTTCCCAAGTGCTACTAGAGAACCCAGGGACTACCCCTGGAGCTCTTGGTCAACCAGGCCAACATTCAGGGTGAGGGTCTGAGGATTTGGTGCTGAGGATTACCTGGGCCACCCTGGCCAGGCTGGAGCACCTCCGGGGTTGCACCTGGTGCTCTTCAGGGAACCATGTGGGGCCAGGGATTGAACTAGGGTGGCCATGTACAAGGCATGCCCCTTAACCCCTTTACTATCTCTCCACCCCTGTTTTCTCTCATTCAACCGTCACAGCAGCCCCGCAGAGTGCCCTATTTCACAGGCAGGGAGATGGAGACTCTGAGAGGTTAGATCCCTTGTGCAAGGTCACCAGCTGGTAAGGGGCAGGGACGGGCTCACACCTAGGTCTGTCTGGAATTGAAGCTCTCGTGCTCCCACCACTAACCAGCTCTGGAAAGACCCTAAGAGTGTCCTCAGGCCAGATGTGTGCATGTGTGTATTGTGCATGTGTGCATGTGTGCATTGCACGTACATGTGTATGTTGTGCAGGTGTTGTGCATACATGTGTGTTGTACATGCACGTGTTACACTGTGTGTGCATGTGTGTCCGCATGCTTGTGGGTTGCATGCATGTGTTGCACATGCATGTGGGCTGTGTGCTGTGTGTGCATGTGTTGCATGTGCATGAATGTGCTGTGCATACATGTGTGCTTGTGGATATGCATGTGTTGCATGTGCATATGTGCATGTGTCACACCTATGTGCACCTGTGTTGCACATATGTGCATGTTGTACATATGTGTGCGTGTATGTAGGCTCCTGTGCCTGGAGTGGGCACTCAGAGAGTCTGGAGTGGAGAAAGGGCGGGGGGTCAGTGACCATTTGCCTGGTCCTAGAGCAGGGCCACATGCTTACAGCCTCTCTCCGAGTGGGGAACACAGGAGAGCAGAGGGCAGGGCTTCTGTGCTCAGAACTGGGTTCCCACAGACCTGGATTCAAACCCTGCCTCCCTGTGTCTGCGCTTGTGACCTCAGGGAAGTCGCTTCCCATCTTGGGGCCCCACGTCCCCCTCCCAGAGCTGAATGAGGACTAACTAGGTCAGGAGGGCAAAGGCTTGGTCGGATGCAGGAGAAGCTCCAGCAAACAGGAGCTTAAAAATAGATCCTGCGAGCCGGGGCAACTCAGGCCTGAGTGCACGCTCACACGTGGGGGTGTGGGCCTGATCCCAGCACGGAATGATGCCCTGAGAGCTGCCGGCATCAACCCCTAAGCGCAGAGCCAGATGTTGCCCCTAAGCAGAGCCAGGTGTGGCCTCAAAACCAAAATAAGACAGAAAGTGTCTGCTGGAAACAGCGTTTAGTGCCCAATCTGGCTCCATTCAGTCACTTGGCCATGTGCTAAGCAGCTCCGGTCTCCCTCCCCCCCTTCCTCCCCGCTCTCTTCCTCCCTCCCTTCCTCCCTCCCTCTCTCTCTGCTGTGCCAAGGACTGATCGACCCCAAGGCCTCATGTAAGCAAGGACTCAGCTTCACCACTGAGTCACATCCCCCAAGGAGGGGCCAGATACGTTTGGAGCTTTTCCTTTCCCAGCCTAGGGTGTCTGGGTTATTCGTCTGCACAAAAGGGGAATAAGATAAAAGCAGAAAATGGGGCCTGAGAGATAGGGCAGGACTGAAGGCACTTTGATTTTGCCTTGCACGCAGTCAACTCTGGCTCGATCCCTGCACCATATATGAACCTCCCCCTCTCCCCCCCCACAAAAAACAAAAACAAAAACACTACCAGGAGTAGTGTTTTTTTACCCCGGAGCATTTCCAGGAGTAAACCCTAAGCACCAACAGGTGCGACTCCCCAAAACAAAACCAAGAAGTAAGTAGATGATAAATAAAAACCGAAAATGAAGGTCAAAACTAATACTTAATGCTTTCTGCATACCAGAGGCTGCTCTGAGCACCCCACATGACTTAATGATTCCTCCCAACACACACACACACACACACACACACACACACACACACACACACACACAGCAGCCCTAGGTCACCGAGACTGGCACGATGTCCATTCCAGAGATGAGAACACTGAGCTGCAAATACAGGTGAGAGAACTTGGCTGTAGTGGTGAGCTGACAAACGGTGGAACCTAGGCCAGCCAGCTCCAGTAAGTCTGTACCCCTTTCCTTAAGCCAGTCACAGAGGGGCTGGTGTGCCTGACACTGAGGCTGCGGTCTCCCCAGAGGCAGGGGCTTGGGTGGGGAAACCCCAGTTAGACACAGGCTCTGGGCTCTGGGCATCAGCAAAAGGCCCCGATCCTGGGCCTGACTGCAGGTCCTGTTCCTGACACAGGGACTCACTGGGAGAAGGAGCAATGAGAGCAGGTGAGAAGGCGGGTGATGGGGCCGGAGAGGTAGCACAGCGGTTGCACAGGGCGACTTGGGTTCGATCCCTGGCATCCCACATGGTCCCCCAAGCACCGCCAGGAGTAATTTCTGAGTGTGCAGAGCCAGGGTGCAGAGCCAGTAACCCCTACACATTGCTGGATGTGCCCTCCCCTTGCAAAAATGCAAAAAAATAAATAAAATTCTTTAAGAAAGAAAGAAGGTGGGGGCCAGGGGCTGTGTGTATGCGTGTGTTTGTGTGGACATTTGTGTGCAGTGTGTTTGTGTGTGCATGCATGGGTGTACTCGTGCATACATTGACGTGTGCATGTATGTGCAGTATGATTGTGTGTCTACATGTGTGCGTGCATGTACGAGTGTGTGCATGTATGAGCGTGCATGTATGCATGTGCATGTGTGTACGTGTGCATGTGTGTATGTGTGCACACGTGAATGTGTGTGTATGTGTGTGCTGTGTGCTTGCATTGTGGTTCATGCATGGGGTGTTGTATGTGCATGCATGTATATGCTTGCATGCCTGCATGCAGGACAGAGGGGGCTTGGGAACTCATGGAAACTGCAGCTGACGTCAAGCAGGCCAGGAGACCTGCCAGGCTCTGAGACCTCCCTGGGACCCGGGATCTCGGCACTGGCTCCTTTCCTCTGCCTGGGCCAGGCAGACACGAGCTTCAGTTCCCCTCCATGCAGTCCCCCCGCCCCCATTGGTTAAATGGGGGCTGTGCTGGGCCCCCCAGGTTGCAGCCAGAGGTAAGCTGGAGGCACACAGAGGGCCAGAGAGGCATCAGTGAGAGAGGGGCCATGTTCAGGGGTTCAGCTGCCCAGTCTCTGGGACTATGGTGACCCTCACCCCAGCCTGTCTGAGGCCAGAGAGTGCGGGTGCCAGCCCCAGTCCTGCCACCGCCGTGTGTGACCTTGGCAGGCCGCCCTCCTCCACCTCTCGGCTATGTTCATGGGCCCATGGCTCACAGGACAGCCACACAGTGGAGAAGAGACGCCGGCAGTCAGGAGACGCTGGGGGCCAGGTCCCCAACACCTGAGCTCACACAGAGCTGTGTCAGGGGTTCAGGGAACACCAGGATTGCTGGTCAGTTTTCAAAACACTCTTTGCTCTTAAGCCCACTTCCCCTTGGTCAGGCAGCTGCCACCTCAGCCCCCCAAAATAAAACAAGTGCCAAGCGGGGGTCATCACTCTCCGATGCTCAGAGGACCCAGGCCCCCAGGAGGTGTGGCACGAACAGCAGCTGAGTAGACAAACCAGCAAGTGAACCTCCTGCACCCCAATATTCCTGAGCTCTGAACCCAGCTCCCGTGGGGGCTGCGGAACAGAACCCCTCAGAGAGCAGAGAGTGGAGGAGGGCTGCTGTACTTCTTCAAGATCCCCCAGGACAGGCCCGGCCCTCCCCATGGCCCAGTCACCCTCCGGGGAAGCCGTAGAACACTGGAGGGGGGCTCCCAAGGCCCCCGGGGCTGGGGTCAGTGGGTGGAGCCTCACCTGATCCCACTGAGTCCAGCAAAGATGACAGAGAGGCACAGCCCAGCCGCCTCTCAACCAGAGGCTTCTCCTCAGAGGCCCTGGGTCAGAGCTGCCCCCCGCCCCCCACCAAAAAGATAAACTTTCTCAGCAGCCTGTTGGACACCCCCAGGCTCTGGGTGAGACCCCACCAATGCACCTCAGGGCAGTTTAGGAGAGACCTTGGGGAGAATGCCGGCGTTCAGGCACAGATGGAGAGAAAGGGGTGTAGGGCAGCTCTGAAAGGCCCGGGGTGACTGGGGTCATCAGCAGTCTGTCCCTTCCTGTCCCCTGGCCAAGGTGGGGGTGGGATGAACGGGACAACAGCCCCTGTTCTCATCACCTGTTCCTTCCTTCCAAGGGACTCCGGGACTCAGCAGACAGTGGCATGGAGTTGTGGGGGGACAGAGTGGGGGTCACGGAGCTAATAAGGCCTGCTTCCCATTCTCCTAGCGCTCCCCCACGTCCCTCCAGAAAAACCGGGCGCACTCCTCCCCTCCAAGGCTCGCGCGGCAGGGGAAGGAGGCAGGGCTGGCAGGGCTGGGATCCTTACCTGGCGGGGTGTGGCCGCCGCGGACAGGGGCTGCGGTGACCTCCCCGCCGCCTCCCCGCCCCCTCCGCCCGGCCCTGCGCCCCTCCTGACAGCGTGTCCCCGGGGCGCTGCGGCGGCCGGCGGCGGTGGGCGCGGCGCCCCTCCCCACGCCCCCCAGCCCCCCACCCCGGCTTCCCCGGGGACAGCCGAGGCGGCCGTGCCCGCGACCCGGACCCCGAGCCCCGCCCGGCCCGGCCCCTCACCTCGAGACACGCAGGAGCCCATCACGGGGCCGCGGGGCCGCGCCGCTGCGCCTGGGGTGCGTCGCGCTGCCGGGCGCTCATGTCTCCGCGGACCCCGGGCTCGGCGGACGCGCGGGCCGGGGCTGGGCTGGCGCCGCCGCTCGCGCTCCCGCCGCGGTGCCCGCCGTGGTGCCCGCCGCCGCGCCCCGCTCGCCTCCACCGCCGCCTCCCGCGCCGCGGCCGCTCGTGCGGGCGGGGGGGACCCGGGGGACCGCGCGCCCCGAGGCCCGAGGGCCCCGCCCCCCCGCTCCCGCCCTCCTCCTCGGCGCACCTGTTGTCCGGGTGCGGGCTGGGGGCCTCTGGGGACCAGGGCGCGCAGGGAGCCTTAGAACCCAGGGGGCAGCCGCCCGCCCTCCCCTCCAGCAGCACTGGTGACAGGGGCTGAAGGTCGGGGAGGGGGCGGGGAGAGCCCCGCAAGGGGACAACGCAGCGCAGTTCATCTCGCTGCCAAGACGCCCAGCAGCCCGAGTGCCCGTGGCGCCCACGGAAGGCGGGTGCGCCCTGGGAACACTAAGCTCCACTTTGGGGGCTCCCTGGCAGGGTGAGACACTGGGTACCAGCATCTCTGGGCCAAGGCATGGAGGCTCTGGGCCTTTCTCAGGCCTGCGTCTTGCCCAAGAGATTGAAAGCCTCTCTAGACACACACAGACTCTTTCAGTAGCTCACACACGCTTGCACACATGCAAACATACATATGCTCACACATGCACACTTGCTCACACATGCTCGTTCACAAACATGCTGGCACATGCTCACACACATGCTCACATACTTACACTCTCATACACGATCACGTACTCATTCACACACATGCTCACACATACTCTCACATGCTCACACATATGCTCACACTCACACAACTCACACACACGCTCACACGTGCTCACACACACTCTTACATGCTTACACACATGCTCACACACTCACACACATCCTCACATACTCACAACATGCTCACACACTCCCAAACACTCACACACATGCTCACACAAACATGCACACAATACTCACACACACTCTGACACACGCACGCTCACACACATGCTCATACGCTCACATAATATTCACACATGCTCACCATGCTCACACACATTTGCACACAAGCTCACACGCATGCTCTCACATACACTCACACACACTCACACATGCTCACAGACACATACACACATGCTCACATACTTACACTCTCATACACGATCACACACTCATTCACACACATGTTCACACATGCTCACACATACTCTCACATGCTCACACATATGCTCACACTCCCACAGCTCACTCACACACATGCTCACACACACACTCTTACATGCTCACACGCACGCTCATACATGGTCACACGTGCTCACACACTCACACACATCCTCACATACTCACAACATGCTCACACACTCCCATACACTCACACACATGCTCACACAAACATGCTCACAATACTCACAGACATGCTCACACACACACACACACTCTGACACATTCACACGCACACTCACACACATGCTCATATGCTCACGTAATATTCACACATGTTCACACACATTTGCACACACGCTCACACGCGTGCTCTCACACACGCTCACACACTCACACACGCTCACATATGCTCACACACACATGATCACACATCACTCATGCTCACACATTCATGTCCTCACAGGCTCACATGCCCTCATGCTTGCACACCACGCCCTCAGACCCCTTAACACTAATAGCCCCCCCTTTTTAATCCCCCACTTCTGCTCCCTAGCAAGCCTGTGTCCACAGCGTGTCCTGGGAGGAAGCACCCGCCCTCTTACAATATTAGTCTCAGGTCGCTCTACCCCCGTCCACCTGCAGACACTTATTAAACAGGAGGCAGGCCGTGCTCTGGGCCATGCAGTGCTGGCGTGGGCTCAGGGCTGGGCCACGTGCTTTTCCACTTGACTGTTTTCCTCACCAGGCAGCAACACCTCTGACAGACAAGGAAGCCAGGCTCACAGGTTCCCATCAGAAGCCCAGGGCTAGGCCAGCAGGGCTTTGAAGGGTGGGCACAGTCTGTGGGCGGGCAAGCTCTGGGCACTGCAGGACTGCTGGGTCACAGGGATAGGCGGGACCTTCTCGGAGTTGTCTGTGTGGAGAGAGGCCTCTGGTCAGCAGACCTGGGGGAGGGGTGCTGCCTCCTGCTCCTGGGCAGCTCGCTTCACTTCCCTGAGCCTCAGCTGTGACCCCAGGGCCTCCCTCCCGGTTGAACCTCTGCAAGGACTCATGTGATAAAGTGTGCGGCCAGGAGTGCAGCAGGTGTGATGCGGGGCTCAGAAAGACGTGAGTGGCAGTGACCTCCAACTAGGGAATCCGGAGACCACCCCCCCACCCCCCGCTTCAGGGCCTTAGACCTATGTGCCGCCCAGGGTCAGTGATGTGTCCAGTGCCCAGGGCAGACTCCTGGGCTCTTCCCACACCAGCACTGCGCCCTCTCCTGGCCCGGCCTGTCTGTGCCCTCTGCAGTGCCCTGCCAATGGTCGGGCTCCGGGGTCCCGGCCCGAGCGGCCGCGTTTGTCCTTCCTCCTGTCCTGCAGACGGGTGACGACTGGCTCTGACTCACCATGACGCAGGGACTCGCGCACTGCCGGGCTGCTCCGGCTGGCAGACTCACAGGTCCAGGAGGACAGGGACAGGGCAGCCGCTGGGTGTCAGGGCTGCACCCCCACCCACCATGGACGTGGCCTGCCACAGGGTGCCCAGTTCAGGGGAAAGCCCAGGGTGGGCTGAGATGGTTCCACCAGAGGCCGGCTGCCTGAGGCTCCAGTGCTCAGCCCGGTGCCCTCCACGCCGCCTCCATCCTCTCGGTGAGCAGACAGAGGCTCAGAGAGGGCCAGGGGCTTGTCCAAGGTCACTCAGCAATTTGACGGCAGGCAGCGTGGGAACTAGAACCCAGGTCCCCTGTCTGCCAGCCCAGCCTTGGATCTAGTGACACTGGGCCGTGAGGGACTAAGAGGGGGCAGCTCCCCCCCTCGTCACCTTCTCAGTCCTTCACATTCTGCTGAGACTGAGGATTTCTGACTTCTCGGGCGGCTCCACGCTCTGTGGGTGCCCACGCCCACAGCGAGCTGTGCTCTGACCCCTCAGCCCCCAGTCCAGCTGCCCGTGACCTCCCTCCCCCACACCATCCTTCAGGCGGAGAGCAGGGAGGGGCTCTGGTGTGTGAGGCCCCCCCCGCAGAAGAGAGTGCCCAGGACATGCCTTTACACCCCCAATTTGCCTTGTGATTTGGGGGATGCACGCAAGCCCCTTGCCCTTGTGGCCGACCCCTCCTGTTTCTAAGTGCCAGGCCCAGACACCGGCATGGAGCTCAAACTCTGCAGGTTTGGCCTGACCGTGAGGGACCAGCGGGGCCGCCACGGGCATGAGGGACACAGCTCTGGTTTAGGGGGAGTCTGTGCTGCGGGAATTTGGGGCAGGTGTTCTATCAGCCCAGCATCATGCTTCTGCCAAAGGTCATGAGGATCACGGGGACCCTGCAGGGAGCTGGAGGGGGCTCAAAGGTGGCATGCAGGCACGGCCGTGGGGTGTGCAGGGGCTGGCACTTATGACTTCTGGGAGACTGGAGAGAAGACTTCTGCACTAGGTTCTTGTTTTAGTTTTCTTTTCCTTTTTAAAAGTTTTTGGGTCACACCCAGAAGTAGGCTGGAGTGATAGCACAGCAGGTAAGGTATTTGCTTTGTACGTGGCCAACCCGGGTTCAATTCCTCCATCCCTCTTGAAGAGTCTGGCAAGCTACCGAGAGTATCCTGCCTGCACAGCAGAGCCTGGCAAGCTCCCCGTGGCATACTTGGTATGCCAAAAACAGTAACAAATCTTACAATGGAGACACTACTGGTGCCCACCTGAGCAAATTGATGAACAACGGGAGGACAGTGCTACAGTGCAGTGCTACCCAGAAAGTACTCTACCAGTGCTCAGGAGTTACTCTGGCCTCTATGTTCAGGAATCATTCCTGGCAGGGCTCTACAGACCTGGGATGCCGAAGATCGAATCCAGATTGGCTGCGTGCAGGGCAAGCGAACTCCCTGCTGTACTATTGTTCCAGTTCCCACACCACCACCCATTTTCTTTTTTCTTCTCCTTCCTTCTATTTTACTCCTTTTGGTTCTGGGGATACAACCAGCAGTGCTCAGGGGTTACTCCTGGTTCTGTGCTCAGGAATCACTCCTGGTGGGCTCCGGGGGACATATGGGATATCGGGGATTGAACCCTGGTTGGCCACATGCAAGGCAAACACCCTACCTGGTGCACTATTGCTTCAGACCCTGGACTGGGGTTTCCCGGTCCAGAACGAAGGAGTCGTTTGTTGACAGAATGCGAGAGTGTGAGATTAGTCCAAGGCTGCTTGCAGAGGTAGTACAGTAGGTAAGCACCTGAGCACTGCTGGGTATGGCTGCCCCCCGGCCCCCCAAAAACAACCAGGCAAGGCCACATACAGAGAGATGGGCAAGAGAAGGTGGGCTGAGCACCTACTCCGTGTCTGCACTACAAGGGCGCAAAGACTGTAGCAGCAGAGAGACGAGGAACTGTTCCCTGGGGAGGGTGAGCAGCGCTGGAGGTGCAAACCCAGCAATGGGGGTCCCAGCATGAGGAAGGTCACAGGCAGAGAGAGAAGGAAGGACTCACACTGCCTCAGGCAGGGGGCTGCAGGGCACCTGGGGGAGGTGACGGTGAGTCCCCAGCTGAAGGTGAGTGGGAGGTGGATCGGCAAGGGATAGAGGTGGGAAGAAGACACAGTCCCCAGAATGATGAGAGGACATAGGGGCCACAGAGAGCTGTAGTGGGCCACTGAGGGTCACAGAAGGCCACAGGGGGTCACAACAGGCCTCAGGCAACTGAGCAATTCTCTCTGTTCATCCACAAACTCAATTACCTCCCAGGCACTCGCCGGTGGGGGTCCGGGTTGGGTGAGGTTCCCAGGAGTGTCTCTGGAGGTCTGCTGCACCTGGCGGTCCCAAGGACCAGGGTTTGGGGACTTTCTTGGAAGTCACAGGTGGACCTTAGGACCTTAGGACAGGTGTCCCAGAACCTGGAGCTCCCCACTGGGGTAAGGCAGCAAGCCAGAGCCCCACACCCGCCCTCAGCAGGGAGAGAGAAGGTCTCAGTCTGATGGGGGAAACAGGTGTCTCAGGTTTGACAGAGAAAACCAGTTGCCGTGCTGGGCTGGGGGACATCGGTGAGCACCCACAAACCCTGGAGAAACTTCAGCAGGAGCAGGGGCCTGAGACACGAGTTCCTCTGACCCCAGCCAGGTCCATAACAACCGTTTCATAGCAGGGGCTT